TCACGTACCTTGAAGAAAGTGGTGAAAACGTATGATTCAGATCCACTGAGCAACACAAAGGCTATGAAAGTGGAGAAGCCTCCGTGGAAAACGGCGGGTCCGATTTCCTCGATCGTCACCCTGACTCTTGTTTTTCTATCGCCAGCCAGAGTCATGAAAGTGTGGCCCATGTGGGCCGAATAATCCACGCAAAGCCCGATGGCAATCACCAGAATCACGCAGGATACGGTATCCAGGGTCAGTCCCCAGAAATGCATCGTTCCAATCACGTCAACCTGAAATACCGATTCGTCAGCATAAACCCCAGAATTGAAGGATTAAACACTGTATACAGATGAGATACAAAATCAACTCGAAACCAATTTAGTAAACGCACTGAAATAATCAGTACATATATATTGAAAAAATAATGTACAATCAGGAGGCCCGCCTTTTAATTAAACAGCTATAGGTCAAACCTGCTGCTGATCACCTCAAATTCCCATGCCCATCATCATCAGCAAATAATCCAAGCATAATAATTGTTTTTCATTATTTTGGCCATAATACAGGCGAGCAAATCAGTACATATAGTGCAGAGAAAGATTCTTTGATCTAAAATCACGAGAATTTCCTTCCAAAAAAAGTGATCATTTTCTTCAAACCTGAGTTTTTTGTTGTTGCTGGAAATCTGCATACTTGGAAAAATTAAGGTTTTCCAGCAAATGTCTTCAGTGAAAATATATTTGTTTATTCCCGCGTAATTACAGTTCGTGAAAGTCTGAAAAAATCATTAAAGAAGTATTCACTGCTGTTGCACGTAACTTCGTATGCCATAAAATAAAACTGAAAAAACGGTTATCTTCACAGTTGGTAAATACTGTATAGGTGGACTCTCTATTATAACGAAATTCAAGGGATCGACCAAAAAATCGTTTTAGGTGGAATTTCGTCGGGTAAAACTTCGTATCATGGGGAGAGGTGCCGAATGGTAACGAAAAAGTATTCATTCTAACGATATAGAATCCTTGTAGAAAAGATCGTTTTAGAAAAAGACCACCACTATACAGTATTAGCTGTATAACATTGCATGTTTCCTCAAAGCGACGAGAAGGAAACCGATTTTGCAGAGAGGACTCGTCGAGACTGCTTCATGCTGAAGCATGCAATCTGTTCATCTTAATTTTTTAAAGCTAAAATTGAAAGAGTTGAATAAGAGCTTACCAGGGTAAGAATCAC